ATTTGACTGTCAGCTCCTGTCTTTCTTAGAACCCTCCCTCCTTGGAATCTGAAATCATGCTGTGTTTTGGTTTCCTCTCATCTCTAGTAACTTGTATTGTATTTCCTTTGTTGTTCTTAGATTTTGGAGTTCATGAAGGCTTAGTTCTAGGCTTCCATTTCTTTCCATTCTGCAACCTAGCAAACATGTCCATTCCCATGGACTATTTGTTGATGCTATTCGGCATTCTCCTATGTCCTGCATTTCAGTAAATAACATCATCTTATTCATTCCAGTTGTCCAATCCCAAGACCTAGAGTCATTCCCTTTTTCACCTCTCCCTCACATCCCAAATCCGTATCCTCTCTTCTATTCTAAGCATTCATCATCTTCCCTTGTAGTACATTATACCCTCTGTAACCCTCCTTTAATTTGTCTACACTGAAGCTAAGCTAATACTTTTCTTTTTCAGTTTTTAGTTTTTATTAGTATATGCTTGCATTTCATAATGATTACAGCCTTTGTAAGAAGTTGGTACATGTTTTTTGAAAGTACAAATCTAATCATGCTATTCTCCCACTGCTCTTAGGATAAAGAATAACAGTTTCATTCTTCTTTAGTCTCTCCTCTTTTCCTCCCTGTCTGATTTGACCCACTGGGTCCTTGTTCAGACTCTCAGGTACCATCCTCTGACCTACTGCATCCTTTTACCTAATCAATTCTCATTTTATTCTTTACATCTCAACACAAAGACAATTTCTGGATAAAAACTACATTTAAAAAAATTGCTTCTTAATATAGGTTTCAAAGTAGTCTGCTCTTTTCCTTGAGAGCATTTATCATAATTTATCATTATATATCTCTGTGATGAGGACACAATCTCTCAAGAGGGATGGGCTTGTCCTCATGGTTGTGTCCCCAGCACCCAGAACAGAGTAGCAGTTCCTAGAAAAGCTAAGTGTTCTTTCTGTGGGCTCCAGGTATCCAGCTCTCATCCATAAATTTTACTTTCAGGAAACCTTAGGGCATAGCACCATCTGTGTAGATCTCAAAGATAAATATAATGTTATATTTATCATTGAGCATAGTTTAGGAACTAAAGATGGGTAAAACCAACCAATTTGGGGGCTGGAATTTAATCTATTCAGATTGCATGGGAACTCCAATTTTACTTCCACTTAACAGTCTCTTCTTATGTATATCCTAAAATAGAACACATACTGATTTAGGGACTGTGCTTTTTATTGTTGTTGTTCTGGGGATTGAACTTGGGACCTTGCACTTGCGAGGCAGGTTCCAGAACCACTAAACTAAATCCCCAGCCCTAGGGACTTTGCTTTAATTCAGCAAACTTTTGAGTGCCTACAATATACCAGATATTTGGCAGGCTTTAATTGGCTTCCCTTCATTTGTTTTCAATGATAATGGAATTTAAAGTTACTTTAAACCTGGATTTGGTTTCAATTCTTCTATTTCATACGGGAACATATTTATATCTTTCAGTGTGTTTCTTTAAATAAAAGTACTTTACAAATAAGGAGTTTTTTCCACTTGGCTATATTTAGTTAAGTAAATTAATGAGAATTCATAATTATGCATGTTAAAGATACTCAAATACCATTAGAACAGGATTGGTAACTCCAAGTTTTTCTCTTTCCTCCTGATTCTAATGGTACACAAGGCTTATAACATAAGCCTGGTAGTGTGTGTAATGAACATGTATTACATTTACAACACTTCCCAGTATTTTGTGGTAGATGACGCCATGTAACTGATGAGAGGTGGAAAACATGATTTCTTTTTAAAGATGCTAACATTAATGGAGAAATTCAGTCCTTGCTTTACAAATAAAATGTGACAGACTTCTGCCCTAGATTCCAGACAAGAGCTCTGTACAAGTTTTGACATGGTGGTTTATGCTGAACCATTTCTTTTTCTTATGGATGTTGAAACTACCCCCATGACTGAATATATACCAGAGGTGAGGGAATAACCTGTGACCTACCCTTGACATACAGATAAATATAGAAATACTTGATAATTTGACTATAACAGCTTGAGTAATGCTTTAAAGATAAGATGAGCTATGCCCTAGAGCAGGGGCGAAATGCAGTTCTTGGTAGAGGAAACTGCAGCCTAAGTGTTGCAACTGGAACAAATAAATATTGGTGGAATTTGAGGATGATGGATGAGGCTAAGTGGAAAGGTTAGCAAGCAGTAAAGACTAGTGTAAAATGAGGAAAAAGTGATTAGTGGTAACTGGAAACAGTAAGAATTCTGACCTGGCGAAATGATTTGTATTTAAAAGCATATTGAAAATTTGTGCTAGATATAATAAAGCTTAGTTTTCTTTCTTAGTTACTTGGGGTGACGTTTTATTGTTGTTTTTTACTCTGGGGTTTTTTTGTTTGTTTGTTTTTGGGTTTCTTTTTTGTTTTGGCTTGGTTTTGTTTTGTTTTACTTTGAGCTTTTATAACTGGTCTGTTCACTTAAGAAAATAACTGACCGCTTCCCATTAGTGAACAATTTCTACAGTCAGTCATTTCTGTGCTAGTGTCAGCTGCAGTTGTTTAAAGGTGTGAACACAAGGGTAACAGTTATCCAACAGTCTACATCACATAAGGGTTTTATATGACCCTTAATTCACTTAAAGGTGAGGGTCAAGGTGTGTTACAGACCACTTTTGCTTTTTGTTTCTTTTGAAATGACTTTAGGCTTTTATGAATCTTTGACCTCTCTTCCTTTCCACTGAGATCGTTTTCTTTTCATGGTCATTTAACACCCTTAACTCTTTTTTTTCTCAGTCTTGACTTTCTTTTTTCAGCTTATCTTTCTTTATGACACATTTCCTGAAATTAATTGTGCTAAATTCAACTTAGATTTCAAGCAGTCCTCAAACCCAAGGCATTTATTAATGTCTTAGCTACTTTTTTCGTTGCTGAGACAAAATAACCAACACCCAAAGTTAAAGGAGGAGAGGTTATTTAGCTCATAGTTTGTAGAGGTTTCAGGCCATAATCACTTGGCTGCAAGGCAGGTTGACACCGAAGACAGGCATGGCAGAGGAGAAACAGTTCATGACAGGCAGAAGGTAGCAAAGTAACAAGGGTGACCACAGCCGTTTCTATCCCTTATATCTTATCCAGGCTACTTAGGGAAGTAGCACTCACACCCTTAATCCTTGATCCTAGCATTGAACCATGAATCAATTTCAGCACCACACACTCTAGATCCAGCTGCCCCCCACCTATGACCACATGAGGCTTTGGGGTAACATCTAAACACCAGCCCTAACGGTGTCCATTGTGTTTACTGTACTGTACCAATAAAGGAGGAGCACACCAGACTCAAATCTGTTAAGTGGTTTTAAAGTGCCAGGTGACATGCAAATCCTATTTTCAAAGACTTGCACATAAATAGTCTACCCCTAGGCTAAATTGTAGGATTGTCATAGTTGAGTGGGCCAAAAATAGTCCAGGTTTTTCTGTATGACGAGGAAAGAATTGCCAGGCATACACCTCATAGTATGTAGTAAGTAGTTACATTTATTGAAGATCACAAGATGGTAGCAGGAACAGGGAAAAGGCACTCAATAACTCAGGTTTCCGGTATTTATAGGGTCAGACACCACAGATCTAAAGTGCCACCCACTCTATCTCACTGATACCAGCAATCTGTGTGACCTCCTAAGCCTAGGCCTGGATAATCATTATGGTGGTCCTAAGTTTGAGCCCAGATGATCATTAGGGTAGTGTGGTGTTCACAGTTGAACAAAGAGAAGGTAGTGATTCCGCTTCTTTGTTTCTAACTGTTCTGGGATGATGGTTTTCAAGAAGTTAATGAAAAAGAATTTAAAAGTCATTTTCATTTTTTAGTTGAAGATAGATTGATTTACTGTGGCTAAAAGACTAGTTTTGGACTTTAAAGGGAAAAGTTTTAGAAACAAAATATTTTTCTGCCATTGTACCAAAATGATCTCAGTGTACCATGTTAAATATGAACATGGTGCTTGAGTTAATTCTTTACCAAAAGTCCAGAAAAGACATAATTAAAGTCCAGAAAGATGAAACAATCAAAGAACTTCGTACTGGATATGATAAGGATGGCAGGGTGTTTTAGGCATTCATTCAACAGGTATTTATTGAGGGATAGCTATGTTTTGGGCTCTGTGCTGCACACACAAAATGATGCCTGTGTCTGAGAGGATAGGGATCTGTGCAAACCATTATCTCCCTAGTTTGTTTTCCTTTGGATCTGATAGGAAAAGCAAAAGAACAAGAAGTACAAAGAAAACAAATCTTTGAAATTTTATCTTACCTTGTTACCTGACCTGAGACAATACCTCAAAGTGTAGGGACAAGGGACACTGTAGGTAGGGAAAAGTAGAGAAAAGGCCTCATTGAGCTTTATTACAAATTAGTAGATGATTTTGACCTCTGAAAAGCAAAGGGAGCTAGACTTAGCAATTAGAAAAGAAGATGAAGGTGAAGAAACTAGGTCTCAGAAGGTCCCAGGTACGGCGATTAACGTAAGAATCATAAACTTTCCCTTCACTTAATCCTTAAATGTAAGTAACCTGTCTTTAAGGCCCCCACTCATAACCTTACCTTCAATCAAAAGACAGGGAAAGGTCCCTGGCCAGAAGAAATCTAAGGTTAAAATGAAAGACAAGCCAAGGAGCCAGTTAGATTCCAGGAGCCGACGTAGAGAGAAGAAACCTTATAAAAAGAGCTGTTGAGGGCCGGGGATTTAACTCAGTGGTTTTGCCGCCTGCTGCGCAAGTGTAAGGACCCAAGTTTGATCCCCAGTACCAATAAATAAATAAATAATAAATAAATAAATAAAATAAAATTTTAAAAAAAGAGCTGTTGACCAGAGCCCATGAGCAATTCACTTTTGAATTCTCCCTACTCATCCTGAATAGCTGTCATCTCTCTTTTCCTTTTTTCCCATCTTGTCTTCTTTTACTTTAAACATGGCCTTTTTAATTCTTTACTGACACTGGGACCTGCATTTTTCAGCAGAGCTGTAGCTTGCAGTCATGCCTGGATGTTACATAAGGAACTGGGGGCCTCAACTTGGCCTGGGCAAGACCCTGACATCTCCTCACAAAAAGGTATTTCAGGACACCGGATCAGGGAGACATAGGCTGACTTACTAGGCAGAGTTAGGAATTAATCGAAAATGGAAGAGGTTCACAGGAAAGAAAGACCAGCTTTTATGGATCAGATGGACTAAGACAGTGGTGGTGAACCTATGGCACATATGCCACAGCAGGCTGTTTGTATCATTGAAAGCTCTAAAAATTTTGCCATCGCTGGCCTAGGCCCGGTGGATAATAACCTCAGTTCTGGGTTTTGCAAGCTCCATGCTTGAGGGGCATTCAGTCTTCCTGAGGAGACTGTGTTTGGAGTCGTAGTTTGGGGAAGCACTATTGAAATCCAAGAGGACTGTCCGGGTTTAAGGCAGTGATGGTGAACCTGTTAGAGACCAAGTCCCGAACTGCAACCCAAAACCCACTTATTTATCACAAAGTTCCAACACTGCAGTTAAATCTGAATTCTGAGGTTTTAGTTTAGAAAAAACTCTACATGAACATCTTTTGTCCTAAAAGAAAAACACACACACATGTGCCATATGTTCAACGCCACTGGTTTAGGGGAATGACTGAGGACTTCTAGGTCCCATTGGTAGTTGAATGTTCCTGTGAATTTCTTTTCTTGATGTCCTCAGTTCTTGAAGGAGGATAAGATAGGTTATGCAAGTTTACACTAATCAACCTTGTATTTCCTGTTTTTAGGCAGACACCTGCATGATTAACATTCCTGTATACAGAGCTGAACAAGGATCCAACCCAAAGCTTTAAAGTAATAAAGGAGACAGATACAAAATGAAGGTCAGGCTTTGTTCTGCTTTTAGTCACCCATTGGACATCTGTAGGGCCAAGTGAAGAGTCACTGTTTGTGTTTGTTTTAGCTCAAAGCAGCGTTTAAGTTTTTGGTTGTCTCAGAAGAAAACATAAATCATACTTTTAACAAGTAACAGGTTAAGAGCCCAGGAGTCCACCTTTCCTGGCTCAATCTTAGGTTATAAAATGTTGAGTAGATGGTGATGTGGTTACCTACTAATATTTAAGAAGCGGGGTAGGACTTAAGAATGAGATTCCAGACACAACTGCTTGGGCTTGAGTCCTGGCACCCTGCTTTTCTGTATCTCTAAAGCCTTGTCTGTAAATTGAGCTTTTTAAAGGATAATGTATGCAAACTGCTTAGAACAGCTGTTGGAACAGAATAAGCTCAGTAAACGGTAGCTATTCAGTTGAAGAATACTAGAATTTGTTAAAGGCCTAGAGAACTACATATTGGACAAATGAAAGACATTAAAACAACTGTGCAGGGCTAGGGATATAGCTCAGTGGTAGAGCACTTTCCTAACCTACAAATCCGTAGGTTTGATCTGCAGTACAGGCAGGGATTGGAGGGTGGGGGTATGACACAAAAATTCTTCAGTTATCCAGCATGATTATATCCCAGATGTAAGATTTATTGGCAAAGTGAAGATTTGATTTCATGGAGATTTGTACCCAAAAAATACCTTCCAGTAAGTAGCATGTAAATATTTGTGCTTTTAGAACACTGGGATGTTAATTACACTGAGTGAATTTTTATGAAGAAGTTTGCTGGATTGTTTGAATAATGTGATTAACTTGCTGAATGTGGAAGAGAATTCTAGGAATCAGAAGGAAAGAGGAAAGGTCAACCTTGGAAAGAGAAGCACTGAAAAGAAGGTGTTAAGTAAGTTTATGTGGGTCTAACACAGTGTTCTCAACCGAGGGCATTTTTGACCCCTACGAGATATTTGGCACTGTCCAGAGACTCTTGTGTTTGTTTTGTTTTGTTTTGTTTTGTTTTGTTTTGTTTTGTTTTTGGTACAGGGGATTGAACTCGGGACCTGGAGCTTTCAAGGCAGGCTGCGGAACCACTGAGCTAAATCCCCAGCCCAAGACTCGTTTTTTTGAGACAAGGTCTTGCTATGTTGCCTAAGCCAGCCTTTAATTCCTGGCCTCAGGTAATTCTCCTGTCTCAGTCTTGGAGTATCTGCGACTACCTCTGCCCAGCTTTGGAGACTTGCTTTGGAGACTTGCTTTGGATTGCCACATGTGGAGAGAAGAAAGGCACTACTGGCATCCAGTAGTACGAGGCCTTGATGCTGCTCATCATCCTGCAGTGCACAGGTAGCTCACAACAGAGAGCTAGCTACCACTCCCAGAATGTCAGTGATGTTGAGATTAAGAAACAGTGGTCAAACTAAAGGTGTAAGAGAAACAATTGAGTATAGAAACCTGCATATATAACATTACACATCCCATTCCACCCTCAACCGCTTGTGGAACATTGCCTTTTACTGTGCAATCTGGAACCAAAATGATAAGCATCCTTTTATAAACTCCAGGATACATGTCTTCCCCTTCCATTCTGGGGGGGTGGGATGAAAAGAGTGTTTGCTTAGATTAAAGATTGCAATAAAACTCTTTAACAGCAATTTTCTGTACTCCTGTTGTAGGTGCTCTTTTATATACCAGGCAAGGTGATTGATTAATAAAACAGTGAATAAGGAAGGTTTGTTTTACAGACTGTATAATGGAAACTATAAGCCTGAAGAAAAAGAGATTTTTGGCTTTAACCTGTTGAGGTTAAGAGATTTGTGACCTGGTTAGAAGGGATTTTAAAGTGAAATGGAGGATTACCTGATGTATGGAATCATTCCAGAGTGACCAGTGTGTTAGGAATAGTATGATCAGGAAGAAAATGACGGAGTTCTTTTTTTTTATGTCACACCTGTAGACTGAGCTATCTGCTGAACCCGTCTCCTTCACTCAGCATTGTAATTAGTACCAGCCTTCCTTCCTAATACTGCTTCAGCTACTCTTTCCCCTTTCTGTGGCTGCTACCTTCGTTCTACACACACGTGTGCGCGCGCGCGCACACACACACACACACACTTGCACACGCACACACATACCCCTTGGGTTAAGGGACCCTGCACGATTTACACTCTTACTCATATGGTTACTCAAGTAAACTACAAAACATAGTTTTTGTTTTTAATACCACTTGTGCTTAAAACAGCTCTAAGGACAGAATTTAAACTTTTAAGTTAATTTAGGTTGAAGTTGAAACTTCGGTACTAGGAACTCTGTAATATAGTCCCTGCCACCTTTTCTAACCTTACCTGTCTCCTGTGACACTACTTACTCCCCATGCCTTCTCACTCTGCTCATACCATTCACTGTTTCCTGGATTTGTGATGTGTGTCACACCTCTTTCCTTCCCAAGTTCTACTTTTTATACTTTTCTGCCCCCATGTTCTTGGTTGTTTGTACTTCTTACGGAAGTCTGGCTTGACTTTCTTAATTTAGATACTGCATCTCTTATCTGCTCTTTTCCCATCCTAGCAAATGGAGTTAAATGCAAGGTGGCTTCTGGAGGCCAGCTGTCTAGTTAAATCTTCTGCTTGACACTAGTATTAGGTGTTCTTGAGCAGTTCTCAGTCTCATTTTTCTCATATGTAAAATGGAAACAATTTTAAACCCTTATAGTGAAAGTATGTTAGTTAACATATGTCAAACATTTAGAGTAGTGTCTGGTGCCTGTTAATACTCATTGAACATTAAGCTATTACTTTGTACATAACTTATTCTTAGTATATGCATCTCTCTTTTGCATCCCTCCTCTACTGCACTGTGAGCTTTTTTGAGGTCAGAAACTAAATGGGATTTCATCTTCAGTTTTATGATAAAGTATGTATTGAGCATCACAAGTCATTAGTGCTTAGTTAAGTCCTAACTGTGACCTATTTTTGAAAGGCCTCTGAGCTAGGAATAGTTTTTAAAAAAAGACCAAGATGAGTGTCATGGCCCCACAGAACCTAAAACAATACCTGTAATTCGCTTCACAGAAAATGTCTGCTTATCCCAAGCTAGGTGCTGGGGATATTAACGCAGTACTACACATGGCTTGGTTATTATTCAGTGAAGATTTGATAGAATGAATGGATGGCTGGGTAGAAAGATGATGAACTAAAGTAGGAAGATCAGAATTGTGGCTATTGGTAGTTATTTCTAAGTATGACAGCCAGTGGAATCCGAACTAGTGGCTTTCTCATTTGGTAACATAGGTCTAGACTGTCTGCTTTTTGTGGGTAGGAATGCTTTAGGGTCCTGCATCATTCTGTGATGTTTGAAAAGTTGGATCCAAGAGTAGTGTTCAAATACCCACTTATGAACATATGATATAGCAAATCAAGAATTTGCTAGTTTCTGTGGTCTGTAAGGATGAAAAGTTTCAAGTGTCTTCCATGTTTTCCATGAGGCATCCCTTCATGCCTCATACTATAAAGGACAGGGGCCTCGTTTCTATTTACTAAATAGGAAGACCAGCCTAAGTGACAAATTCTATTCCTTATCCTTACAGTGAACAAAGAATGAATACTTTGAGTTTCCCTAATTTTGTGTATTTTGCTTGCATAGATGATAGAGGTGGAGAAGGCTGATAGATGTAGTAAGTTCAAACCAATTTCTTCATTTTTTTATTTTTGACAGTTCTTAGGGACTTTAGCACCAAAATAGTTTGCCCTTTATTTTATTTTATATTTATGGTATAAGAACAATTTGTCTTCCTTCATTTTTATTTTCTTAATGTTTTCAAATTTTTATTTGTTCTAAATAGTGTATCTCTTAAAGCTTATGTCCAAATTAAAATAGATGTTAAGTGTTTTTGTATTTCCTAAAAATTAGTTGGATGTTTTTAATCTGAAGAAGACCTTGGAGTATTTAAGGCAACTCGTTTATCTCATAGACTGGTCAAATTTTTAAAAATCACAACAGTTCACAGTAGTAGAATGAGAGGTAGAAGCCCAGTTCTCCGACTTCCACTGTTTGCTCTCAGATACACCCAGTGTATCTCCCACTGTCCTGGTTTTATGTAGAGAAAATGTGCTACTTTCAATTAAATTGTTATGCTGAACTTAACACTTTCCACTGTTACTTGATGAAGAATAATGATCAAGACTTAAAAATCCATGTCTAGTTTCTTTTTTAGTTATTTAAAAATACCTACTGTACTCCCTTTGCCCTTCTCATTGTGAATGAATGGTCCAAGAAATGTTTTGGTAAAAAAAAAAAAATACTCTTTGGTATAACTAAGACTCGATACATTTTAATATAAGCAGTGTTCACCTCTTCACTGTTTGCTCTGGAAGCAGAAGTTGGAAACCTGGCTCCTATGGAACCCTGCCTTGTGAAGAAGCTTTTATGGCAATATTAGATTATATTTCTCTCTTAAAAGTTTTAGTGAAAAATGGGGAATAATTTGATCTTTTAGCCTTATAAAATCTTCCTCTATGTCACCATGAACTCTAATACATACATACAGTGTAGATGTTTCATATGAATATTATTCTTTCTTATCTTTTTTCTTTTAGAATTTTTAGTGCCTTTTACAACAAATGTTTGTTGAATTATATTGAACCTGCTAAGTAGATAAATTGTTTTGCATTGCTGAATAAAATAATTTTATTGCAGATATGAAAGAATACTTTATGGTTATTTACTGTCTTATACCCAATTCATTGACACTTAGGTTTTCAGCATATTTATTGTTTAAATGTAGAAATTAAAATGTATTCTAAGTCATTTGGCAGCTGTAATGATTTAAGAGCAGTAAACTTAGAGTTACCTTGATTCTGCTGCTGGCTGGTATAGCATTTGTGGGTCAGGATGTGTGGGGTCCTGTATCTTTATGTTGTGTTTGAAAAGTTAACTTGATAATAGTGTTCATGTGCCAGGTTATCAACATGTGAAAAAGACAAGAGTTGACTAGTTTCTGTACTTCATCAGGAAGGAAAGTTTCGAACAGTCTTCCATATTTTCCATGTGGAAATTGAGTGGTAATTACCTCACACTGGGGCTGTCCAAACCACACACCAGAGCCTTGTGTTACAGTGGATGTTCTGGAGCTAAGACTGGCTTCTTAGAGTGGGGAAATGGAACTAAGATCCGCAACAGAGATGGAACTGTTAGACTTGTATGTGTCCTTAGCAAAAAGTAGACTAAGAGGGGAAAATCCATCCACCAGCAAAGTGCAGCGATAAAGGCTCCCTTTCTTAGCTTTAGAAGTTTTCCCTGAGAGTTCATGACCTGGGCTCTTTTTAAATTCAGATTTGAAATTTGAATTTACACCAACTGCTTGGTCTTGAGAAATGCAAAACTAAGAAATTAAAGTAATCCTGCCTGCCTCCTAAGCAGAAGGTTCTGAGTTCGATCCCCAGTACCAAAAAAAAAGAGAGAAAGTAATCCTGGGCTAAAGTCCCACTCCAGTAGAACAGAGGGAAATGTTCTAAGGTCTTTATAAAGCGGAATGTACTTTCAACTCAGGCTTCTTGGATGCCTTAAAATTAAAGTTTTCCAAATAACCCAAAATGACAACCTAGGAAGAAACACAGCAATATCAGAAAATTGTATAAAACAACCAACAGTAAAAGTAGACTCTCTTCTGAGGACTTCAGATTGCTATAATTATCAGGTTTATAGTTTGAATTAACTTAAAAATGCTTTAATGCATTTTCTGGTTGCCCCAAGAATGCTCTAAGGCAGGGCTTGTGGCTGCAGCATTTACTGTGAGATAACTGGCAGATTATACTCCTAACCTTACCTCCAAAATTTACCACAGTATATCTTGACTTTATTACTATTTCCACATCCCTTTAATGTAAATAATTATCAATAGCCTTTGGAAACAAAAGACATCATTCTATTTATAGCATTTTTTTTTTAGTAGTGGTAGTTCCATTTACAAAATATAATAATCCCTGATTGGTGAAAACGGACACTGACCTGACCGCAAGCTGTACTTTTTTTTTCCTAAACAGTGAATGTTAATACTAAACGAGGGGATTGAAAACATGGACACAAAGCAGACTGCAAGAATGACCCACTAGATTTGACAAAGAAACAATTTCTAGAAAGGAAAAAAGTAGTTACTGAAACTTAGAAACTTACAGGTTAAGTTGATTATTACAAATTGTAGTTCCAGAGAGCATAGGATAGTTCTCAGCGATTATCATTTGAACTATGCTGTGGCTGAGAATTTTCTGCTTGGTGAATTCTGAACTTTAGGAAGTACACTGAAACCCCAAGTTGGTTATATAAAAATTCTATACCTAGATATATTATAG